TTTGCGGCAGGAGGAAGAGCAGTGCGGAACGACGTCCTTGCTCCCCGGGTCGGCCGGTCCCCGAGAGGAGCGATCGAGCGCCGACACCACCACCTCCTCCCCTCCGACCTCCCCCTCTCTTCCTCGCTTGCGTCCCTCCAGGGGACGGGCGGGGGCGGAGGCGGAGCCTCGGTGCAGCAGCGCTGGCCGGCTCCCCGCCACGCCCCCTGCTGCCGGGGCTCTGGCAGAGATGCTTGCCGGCTCCGCCCACCGGCTCGCTGGCCTCCGGGGCGCCCGGCCCCGCCTCCTCTCCCAGCCCGGACATCCCTCAGCAGCAGCCGGTACCCCGCCCTCGGCCCAGCGGTGCTTGGAGACTGCAGCTCAGTGTCCTTAAAAGGAGCCCGTTTCCTGCCCAGAGAGAGGCTTGTCTTTCGGGCAAGCCTCATAGTCTGTGAGGCCTGAAGCGCAGCCTTTTTTTTTCTTTTTTTTGGGCGGGGTTGGGGGCCTGGAGGAGGAGGGCTGCTTCGCTTTAAGAAAATGATTTCAAAATTCCAAGTGCAAAATTTCCAGAGAGCCTCCCTGAGCCTGGGTGCGAAGTCTGAGACTCGCAGTATATGGACTCCTGAGGGCTGCGGTGGGCTCCTGTCCAGGAAGCCGGCCTTTAGGTGCTCACGGGAGCGTCCGGTGATCCACTTTTCTCCCCCCAGGGTGGGCTCCATTGTCTTCGAGGCTTAGGTTGAGTGATAAGTGCTGGGCTAGCAGATACCAGCAAGGCACATTAGGTGTAAAAGAAGGCTTTTCTATTGACCCGATTCCAATTAAATACTGTTTCTGCACACCTGTGGTGGTTGTAATGGCGTTTGCCTCGGATGCGCCACCTTTGGTGGGAATCACACGGCGACATTCGATGTATCATTTCTAGAGGTTTTTCTAGCCATTTGCAGAAATGACTCCTTGTGCTTTCTCGTTATTTTGGAAGATAGCCTTGCGCAATGCTATTCAGACGAGGAGACATTATTAAAAACTATATATATATATATATATGCATGCCATACTATAGAAACTATATATATAAACCATATATATGTAAACTATATATAAACCATATATATATAAACTATATGTATAAACCATATATAAACTAAACCATATATATGAAGAATATATACAACAATATATATAAACTATATGTAAACCATATATATAAACTATATATGTAAACCATAAATATATATAAATAAATCATATATATATATATAGGTGACTCTCAAACCTGGATACTTGAAAGCAAAATGAAAAGAATGTCCAGAATCAAATCAAAGGGACATTTGAATTAAGCCTGTTCTTCCTCCCCCTCGTCCCTGTATATATGTATATATCTTGATTACTATCCACTGTTATGTTTTAATGAATCTTATGGTAAGTACCACATAGCCACTATTTCAAAACATGTTGTCCATAACTGGAAGTCGGTAGCAGTGCATTATTTCAGGACTCAGATTTGTTTGTAAAAAGTTTTAGCCATACAATTCCTTAAAAACAAATGTAAACTTTATGTAGCTCTTTTACAGTTTGAGTAACTGGGATAATATAGATGAAATGAAAAGAAAACAAGTACATCTGGATCTCACTTCCTAGAGATGTTGTCTATGTGCCAGCTTCAAAGTAAGAAACCTGTTGAATGAGAGTTTATAGTTGTATGGCTTTAATTTAGTATTTTATAAAATTATACATATAATTGTTTCCTTATATTTGTGAATTTATTTTTATATTAATCACTTGGTTTTGTAAGCATATAAGGAAAGTGAATGAAATGTTCAAAGAAGGAACTATATACCATGAGGATTGAAAACAGTACTTTTCTGTTGCCAAAATTGGCATGATGGACTTGTGAAGGAATTCCCTTTGGACTAGATCCACTGTAGATGGTGTCCAGGGTTAATGCCAGTGGCTAAATTGCATTGTTCCCTACGGGGTTATACGCTTCCTTCAAACCTGGCACACCACTATTAACTGTGACCCTCATCAAGGACATTAGTGATATTTTAAAATTACTAGTTTTTTGTGTATATTTTAGTGTTATAGACTGCAGTTCCCAATTAGAGTTGCTTTAGGATATCAGTTTACAGTGTTAATCTATAATTTATTACTTGAGTACACCAGGGGAGGCAGTGTTGTGAATTGTACACTGGTAAGCTACTTAATGAAACCATGCTTTGTATTTTTAACGTGTATAATTATATTTAAACTCAAGCAAGACTTAGGCTTGTCTGACTCCCTTTGAATATATGGATTTGTTATCTGAGGGTTGCAGCTGATGGCGTTTTGATACCATATTAATATGTTTGCTGCTGCTACCAAGAGCTTTGTCAAGCAAGTTGGAGATGGAGGAAGATTAGTTCCTGTTCCAAGCCTCAGTGAGGCTGATAGATACCAGCCTCTGAGTCTGGTGGTTAAAAAGAAGCGATGTTTCCTGTTTCCTAGATATAAATTTACTTCAACACCTTTTACACTGAAAGATATTCTTCTAGGAGACAGAGAAATTTCTGCAGGTAAGTTTAAATGTCTGTGAGTGACTACCCATTCAGCTGTATCATTGGTAATCTAAACGTAGACTGTATATGCTTCTTATGTTTGTAATATTTACATATTTTTATTGATGAAAGCAACTTTTATTATTGTGGCAGTAATAATATTATTCAGATTAACAATGCCTAAAGTTTGTATAATATCAAATCTCTCATTGGTTGAATAATTTTCAAGTGAATAAAATTATTTACCATATAATTTAATTACAGTTATTTTAGGAATTATTTCACCAAATCAACTTAGAATATGACATAACAATATATTTCTTCATCTATAAAACGAGGGTATTACTTAATCGTACCTATCTCACATGGTCAAATGAGATGAAAATAATTTCTATTTATTTTTTGATTCAGTTATTATTGTTGGTAAACTGAAATGTATTATAGGCTAGATTAGGAAATAAATTGACATTTTAACAAATTTGTTCTTATAAACACTAATTTTCCTCTCAGCTAGCCAGTGGATCATGATGCTTAAGTATTCTGCTAGCTGAACAGAGAATTTGAGTTCATTTAAAGTACTCTGTATATTTATTTCTTCTTCTTGTCAGATTAATTCAACTTCTCTTTTCAATAGTGATTTGAAACGTTGCCTTTCTCAACATTTGGGTAATCAAGTTTTAAATAGTAAACTAACATGTTACTGTACATAATTTACTATAGACGAATTCAAGACATTTAAAAAATATTGATTTCTTTTCCTTAAAGGTATTTCATCTTATCAGTTACTGAATTATGAAGATGAATCAGATGTTTCACTCTATGGAAGGCGAGGCAACCATATTGTGAACGACGTTGGAATTAACATTACTGGATCAGATTCAATTGCAGTAAAAGCTTCATTTGGTGTAGTAACCAAACATGAAGTGGAGGTATCAACATTACTCAATGAAATTACTACACGGTCAGTATAATAAGTCTTAATATACTTTGATGTTGTCATTAAATATTTTAATTATATAAACTTCATTACAAAGAATGCTTAAAACATTCATGTTATAGTTTACTATTGTGCTTTATTTATTTGATTTGTTTGAAATACTACAAATTAGTAATATATCCAAATTTTGGGTAAGTGTAGATATCCAAAATTATTCTGTTTGAACAGAATATTTAATTGTTCTGCAGAATCGCTTTGGCTCTGCACACATTTGCTAAATTATCAGATTAAAAGAATTCATGAATCTGCTTGCAACAAATATACTAAGAGTCTCTTCCAACAGACTCCTATAATAAGCATGTTTTAAGAAAATGGAAAAGAGAGGCAGATTATTAAATTTCTTTTGTGCATTCTTCCTGATTTATATTAGGGCTGCCTTGATTTACTTTTAAATAAGGTAGATCATGAATAATAACACATGATAAGCAAAATATGTATTTGATTATATGTAATTAGATGTTATAGATTCTTGAGAATGTCTTCTTTATTTTAGAAAAATTAATTTTGACCACAGTTTGATACGTCAGTCAAGGAGCAGCAGAAAGGCAGTATTGTGTGTGGTCATGGAAAGCATTCGAACCACACGACAGTGCTCACTGTCTGTGCACGCTGGAATTCGTGGGGAAGCCATGCGGGTAAACCACATTCATCAAACTTCTCTTACTAAAAAGCTGCAATAGGAATTTTGTTTTAAAGTACTCAGCTTATAATTAGACCTGGGTATTTTGTCAAATGTTAAGATTAAAGAGCTGCAGTGTATATAGAATTTTTCACAGTAATGATTTTATTTTAGAATGTGAAAAAAATCCAAGAAACTTTGAATTATAAATGTGTAAAATAATGCAAACAGAACACTGATCCTTGTGAAATAATGTGCACAATGGAGTCCCTCCTATTACTATTTATGTATATATTTTTTAATTGAAGTATGGTTGATTTACAATGTTGTGTTAGTTTCTGGTGTACAGCATAGTGATTCAGTTATACATTTTTTAATCATTTTTTCATATTATTTTTCATTATAGATGATTATAAGATATTGACTATAGTTCCCTGTGCTATACAGTAGGACCTTGTTGTTTTATCTATTTTATATGTATAGTAGTTTGTATCTGCTAATCCCAAACTCCTAATTTATCCCTACCCCCTTCCCTCCAGTAACCATAAGTTTGTTTCCTATGTCTGTGAGTCTCTCGCTGTTTTGGAAGTAAGTCCATTTGTGCATTTTTTTTGATTCTATGTATAAGTGATAGCATGATATTTGTGTTTCTCTGTGTGACTGACTTCAAGTGGTATGACAATCTCTAGGTAAATCCATGTTGCTGCAAGTGGCATTAGTTCATTCTTTTTTATGGCTGAGTAGTATTCCATTGTATAAATATACTACAACTTCTTTATCCAGTCATCTGTTAATGGATATTTAGGTTGTTTCCATGTCTTGGCTATTATAAATAGCGATACTGTGAACAGTGAGGTGAATGTATCTTTTTGAATTAGGGTTTTCATCTTTTCTGGATATATGCCCAGGAGTGGGATTGCTGGATCATATGGTGACTCTGTTTTTATTTTTTTAAGGAACCTCCATACTGTTCTCCATAATGGCTGCACCAAATTACATTCCTACTAAAAGTGTAGGAGGGTTCCCTTTTCTCCATACCCTCTCCAGCATTTATTATTTGTGGATTTTTTTAATGATGGCCATTCTGACTGGTGTGAGGTGATACCTCATTGTAGTTTTGATTTGCATTTCTCTGATAATTAGCAATGTTAAGCATCTTTTCCTGTGCTTATTGGCCATCTGTATGTCTTTCTTTGGAGAAATGTCTATTTAGGTCTTCTGCTCATTTTTTGATTGAGTTGTTTTTTTTTTTGTTATTGAGTTTTATGAGCTCTTCGTATATTCTGGAAATTAAGCCCTTGTCAGTTGCATTGCTTGTAAATATTTCCTCCAAGTCTGTAGGTTGTCTTTTCATTTGGTTTATGGTTTCCTTTACTGTGCAAAAACTTGTAAGTTTGACTAGGTCCTATTTGTTTATTTTTACTTTTATTTCTATTACCTTGGGAGACTGATCTAGGAAAACATTCTACAATTTATGTCAGAGAATGTTTTGCCCATGTTCTCTTCTAGGAGATTTATGGTGTTCTGTCTTATGTTTAAGCCTTTAAGCCATTTTGAGCCATATTTTTGTGTATGATGTAAGGGAGTGTTCTAACTTCATTAATTTACATGTGACTGTCCAGCTTTCCCAACACCACTTGCTGAAGAGACTCTCTTTTCTCCATTGCTATATTCTTGCCTCCTTTGTTGTAGATTAATTGACCTTAGGTATGTGAGTTTATTTCTAGTCTCTATTCAGTTCCTTTGATCCACATATCTAATTTTGTGCCAATACCACATTGTTTAGATTACTGTTGCTTTGTTGTATTGTCTGAAATCTGGAAGGGTTATGCCTCCAGCTTTGTTCTTTTTCCTCAGTGTTGCTTTGGCAATTCTGGATCTTTTGTGATTCCATGTAAATTTTAAGATTATTCTAATTCTGTGAAAAATGTCATGGGTAATTTGATAAGGATTGCACTAAATCTATAGATTGCTTTGGGTAATATGGCTATTTTAACACTATTCTTGACATCCAAGAGCATGAAGTATGTTTCCATTTATTTAAATCATCTTCAGTTTCCTTTATCAATGCTTTATAGTTTTCAGCATCTAAGTCTTTCACCTCCTTGGACAGGTTTATTTCTAAATATTTTATTTATTTTTTGATGTGATTTTAAAAGGGATTTTTATAACTTTCCTGATATTTTATTGTTAGTGTAAAGAGATGCAACAGACGTCTGTTTGGTAATCTTGTGTCCTGCTACCTTGGTGAATTCATTTATCACCTCCTATTACTATTTAAATGTTGTTTTAAGAATAAAAATTGAGTGTTTATGTTGAATTCTTATATTTTATTTTTAAGTAATGTGGTTCATACTTGAGTTTTTAAAAGTTGAATTTATATTTTTACATTAATTTTTGTAAAATAACATTGTCAATAGTCAAACATACTTCATTCATTGTTAAGTCCTTTAAAAATCTTGAAAGTTATATGTTTAATTTTTAGCTCCGTTATACTGTTTGTCCTTGTCATTCACCTAATAATGACACACAATAATGACTTGATTTGTTTTATGAAAATCAATTATTAGAAAGATAGGGTACAATGATAATTTTTCAAGTCTTTGCAAATGAAGTTTCTGTTCAGTGGCTACATTTAGGTGCCTACCCAGTCATTTAATATTGGCTCATTTGGGGGGCATGAACTGAAATATACATTTACTTAATTGTTGGTGATTGCTTGGAAAAGCTACTGAAAGCTCTGGGGGCTTTGGAACAGTGGACAGAGTAGGCTAAAAACAACTGTAGCAATTAAAGGCAATAGGTTTGCAGTTGAAAGAAAAAGATTTCTATGCCAGGGAGCATTACTGTTGTGGTAGCACTAATCATTGGCTCTGATACAAAGTAAATGTGAAAGTGGTGAGAGGTATTTCCTAAGGTAGATCATGAATCCTCATTGGGTCATTTATTTGGATCTCTGTTATACAAAGTTTAATTCAAGTAGGACAGTTCTTTACTTGGAGAGGTGTTTTTTCTTGTTTTTGGTAGGATTGTAAAAAATGTTTTGTTTCTCCAAAAATCTATCTTTACATGTTATGCTCCTTAATAATGTTATTTATTTATTTAATATAGTTTCATTTTATGGATGAACAGAATCCCAAGGGAAGGGACAAAGCTATTGTTTTTCCAGCACACACAACCATAGCTTTCAGTGTTTTTGAACTCTTCATTTACTTGGATGGTGCCTTTGGTGAGTGAATGATTTGCATGAAACACTGAAATGATTATATTTTTAAAGAAGGATTTAATGAGAATCTCTGTCTCTGATTCTCCTTTCTCAATACCTCATAGGAGAAGAGTGATGCTGTAAGTACTGTCAGTCTTGTGCTTGGGCAAAATAACCCAGAAAGACCCTTCAATCCCCTTACCTATTACCTCTTTCCTGCTTCTTGGTGAAGGTGGTAGTCTTCTCACCATCCCACGTACATTTATGAATAGGAGGTGGAATACATTCCACTGACAGAGTATTTTCTTGACATGGGAACATAAAAAATGACCTTCCAATAGGTAGTTTTTGATGATAAATAGAGTAAGTGGACAGTAAGATGCCTCAAGGTGTCAGAGCACCCAAACTAGGATACCCAAAGACAACTTTTCTTCACTTTTTCCTATCATAGACCCAGCTCCCCTCACCCCAGACTCTCGCTTAAAAAAACCCTTAAAGGTACAAGTGCTCCCCTAAAATTGTCACCTTATATAATACTTCAGTGCAGCTTCTACATTTCACAGGTTTTAAGGTTAGGAGACCCATTAGCTCAAGTCTAGGTGTAGCCCGAAGGACTTGGCATGGGAGCCCCTTAGCCATGGTCATTTATAAACATTTTTAGACCTGTTTTTGTTTCTGCAGTTCTGTTGGAGGGAATAGAGTGTCTAGAAAAAAATAAAACATGCTAATTAAATTCTATTTGGGATACTAAAGGGTGTAGGTTTTTACAATTATATTGATCATTAGGAGAAGTATAAACTGATAGAAATGATATATCCATCAAAATTTTAAATGTATATATGTATGCATTTTAGCCTTATTTACATTTTTAGGAATTTATCCTACAGATAAACTTACATATATGTGAAATGATATGGGTATAAGGGTATTAAGTTCGTAATAGCAAAAGATTGGAAATAACCTTGAGCTATATTATCAGCAATTGGTTAAATAATGGTGAACCCAACAGAATACTATGAAGCCATTAAGAATTAGGTGGCACTTGAGATCCTGATATAGAATAATCTTTATGATATTTTTAATTTTGTTTTAATTTTTTTAATTATTTTTTTTTTGGTAGGGGGAGGTAATTAGGTTTATTTGTTCATTTTTTTTTTTAATGGAGTTACTGGGGATTGAGCCCAGGACCTCATGCATGCTAAGTTCCCACTCTAACACTGAGCTATGCCCTCCCCTCTTCTATAATATTTTAAAGAAATGTGTATCTAACTACTGGAGCCCAAAAAATTTTATATATATATACATACTTACATACATGCATACAAATTCCTTTATGCCTGTAAAATATGTAGAGTATTTCTGGAAGTATTCACAGTGTAAATACTTGTAAAACTGGGGTGTAAAACTGAGGTTAGGGTCAGCGCAGACTAGAGACTTATTTATCACTGCATCTTTTTTTTTTGTACTCTTGAATTTTGTATGATGTAAATATTACCTTTTCCAAAAATACATAAAATTTAATTAAGAAAAATAAAATGAATAGCATGTATCAGCATTCAACCACAACTAAAACTCCTAATAAAATGAATTGTTCAAATTATAACATCTTCTAAAATTCTTTTTTATAGACCTTTGTGTCACTTCTGTGTCAAAAGGAGGATTTGAAAGGGAAGAAACAGCAACGTTTGCACTACTGTACAGATTGAGAAATATACTATTTGAAAGAAGTATGTCCACTGAAGATTTTTTTCTTCTCAGATTAACACTTGAGATTATCTATTCAATAATCCTGTCTTTAAGGGAGAATTCAAATTTAAAAACCATATTTAATGATGGTTTAGATTCACATATTTATAAATGCAGCTTGGCTATGTATTTTTTATTTGATTTCTAACACATTTCTGTTTTTGTCTCTTTAGATAGAAGAGTGATGGACGCCATTTCTCGTTCACAGCTTTACTTAGATGATCTTTTTTCTGACTACTATGACAAACCTCTCAGCATGAGTGATATTTCACTCAAAGAGGGGACTCATATCCGAGTTAATTTACTTAATCACAATATTCCAAAAGGACCTTGTATACTCTGTGGAATGGGGAACTTTAAAAGGGAGACCGTTTATGGATGCTTTCAGTGCTCTGTTGATGGGCAGAAGTATGTGAGACTTCATGCAGTTCCTTGTTTTGATATTTGGCACAAGAGAATGAAATAAAGTGGAAAGTGAATGTACTCTTCTGGTATTTTAGGTGCAACCATGCTACCCACCTTTTCAAAATTATCCAGGTTTGCTTTGATGAATTATAGCCAATTAAAGAGGGAAAGGAGTAAGAAATTGACCTGTCGGGGCATCATTTTTCACATCTCTAAAGAGGAGATGATAATGGTGTCTACCTCATAAATTGTCATGAAGGTTAGTAATATTGTTTATACTGAAAAAGGTTTAAATATAAAATTCAGAATGTAGACATTCCTTCATAAAATCTTTCAGTCACTTTAGAAGTATATTTTGGGATTTAGTCTGTCATTTTAGATAATTTTTTACATAGAGATTTTCTAAATACCAATTTTATTTTAAATTAGCTTTGAATTTAGCGTTTCAGGATGATAAGAGTACACAAATGGCAACCTTATGGTGCTTTAACTATTGCCCTAGGTCTGGAAAATGAGAAAAATATGTTAATAATTTAATGTAATCCTAAATGTTTAATTGTGGTATCACATAATAAGCACACTGAGCTCAGTGCAGGGTTTTGTGTACACAGTTAAGGGTGACCAATAGTAACAGCCTGCTGTTCTGTGATGAACATATATAGGTGCTTGCTAGTACTGTCTTCATAAAAACTCACTACTGTCATTTTAAAGTTAAGGCAGCTGGGACACGTTTCTTTTTTCCTTTGAAAATGTTTAAAACATTTAAAATATTCAGTTCTGAGAGATCTTTTTCATCTACTGTGTAAGATATCTAAAACTTTTTCTATACACAAACAACCTAAATTCTTCATTTGCTATGCATCATTATTAAAATAATTACAAAAGTACTGTGTTAAAGTTCTAGAACTCCATCATCAAAAAGTCTACAAATAATAAATGCTGGAGAGGGTGTAGAGAAAAGGAACCCTCCTACACTGCTGGTGGGAGTGTAAATTGGTGCAGCCACTGTGAAGAACAGTACGGAGTTTCCCTAAAACTAAAAAGAGTTACTATATCATTTAGTAATCCCACTCTTGGTTATATATCTGGAGAAAACTCTTAATTCGAAAAGATACATGCACCCCAATGTTCAAAACAGAACTATTTACAATAACCAAGACATGGAAGCAACCTAAGTGTCCATCGACAGATAATTGGATAAAGAAGACGTGGTGTGTATGTGTGTGTGTGTATATATACACACACACACACATACACACAATGGAATACTACTCAGCCATAGAAAAGAATGAAATAAGCCATTTGCAGCAACATGGATGGACCTAGAGATTATCATACTAAGTGAAGTAAGACAAAGACAAATATCATATGATATCGCTTATATGTGGAATCTGAAAAAAAATGATATAAACGAGCTTATTTA